TCAGTTGCTGGCACAGCTCATCTTTGTGTGTGTGGATTTTTAATGAGCTTTAAAGGTACAATAGGCTTTTACTTTTTATAGATATGCTTTTGTAGTTTGTTACTGGCATTACTGTAGATTTAAGCAAATTTTAAGAAGTAGCGATTGTTTTTTTGGGGCGCGAGGATTGCTTTTATATGACCTTTTTAAACTAAGGACAGATGTGTGTTGACTGTGTAGATTATGTATTTCATTGATCCCCTCCCCCTGCAATGTTGCTATGCATTGCACTACTGCATGTGTAGTAAAACCTGATATTCTTAGAATATGTGGTTTCTTTAAAGTTCAGTGCACCTTTCATGTCCCTAATTAAGCCGAAAAATATGGTGTTCTGTGAATGTAAAAGATGGAAAAATGATTTTTCAATCAGCTAAGACCAAGCAAATTTCACAGCAGACATTTCATTTGTCTGTTCAGCTGGGAGCATAATACAGTGTGGGCAGTTCCCATAAAACACATGTAAGCATGTGCCTTTTCTGGCATTGGTGAGAAAAATCTCTGAAGGAAAGGTCTAATCAATTATTTAATTGCAGTTACTGTTCCCTTCACCCCATAATTGCTTAATGGGGTACCTGTCAGTGTCTTTGAGAAGAGTAGCTGCCTGCTTCAAGGTGTAGAACCTCATTTGCTATAGGACCTTGGTGATAAATAGGAAAAGGGGCTTCTACCTGGGCTGCAGAATGTGTAGGAATACTTTGTAAAATGCGAACTCACTCCTCTAAATGAGATAACAAGGTTTTATTGAGGGACAAAGTCAGTAAAGCAAAAGCAACAGCTCTGGGCGCATGACCATAGCCAGAGGCACACTGATTAGTATTTGTTACAGGTTTATATACTTTCACTATTGCATTAGTCATATACATATTCATAATTCCTTCATATAGGCGGGGAATCATAAGTCTCCTCCTCTTGGCATCTGCGCATTGCTCTCCGGTGATTGTGGGCAGGGGTCTTGAGGATGAAGTAAGCAGTCTTCATCACCAGTGTACTTTTCACCTTTGGCACAGTTGGATGCCCCAGTAATCACACAACTAGCTGAAACCAGACATATCTGTAATTCTAGCAAAAATTTACTATCAACTAGCAATTAGCAACTAGCAATAACTAGCAAAGATTTAGAACATTGTGACCTTCCTGCAAAATTTATTGCAGGATGGGCAGACAAGCAGTATCCCAAGCTAGCAGATGTTTGGGAGGCTCTGTCTCTAAATTAACTGATAATGAGAAGGATGGTGTGAAATAACTCATTCATGTTTAGTGGGGCCACTAAATCCTGTTATCTCAGCACAGACTTACAACACAAACATTGTTCTTTAAAGCTAAAGGTACTTTAGAAGACTAGCGTAAAACAATTTACCCATGTTTAGTGGGGCCACTAAATTCCACAGACAACACAAACATTGTTCTCTTTCTACAACCTAAGTTAAGCTAAAAAGTACTTCAACTCTATGTTTTCCAGGCCCTAGCTTTTCTTAAATCAACTCCCCCCCCCCCCCCCTTTTACCTTTACATATTCTTTTGCTATGTGACTCCTTTTTGCTCAAGAGTTCTCGCCATTTTCAACTTTTTGTCTAATCTGTGTCCTTAGCGAGCTTTGTTTCTGTTATTGTGGACTCATACAGTTATATCTACATAGCCACATGTATGATTTGGGAAAGCCAATACATTTATGTGTTTATCACGCTTCCCAGGCATTGCCCTGTGTATGTGTGTTCACTGCTGTATCTCACAGTTAATTATATGTGAATTTGGAATATATTGATGCTTATCTGCATGTAAAGAATTAAGAATAAATTACATAGGGGCATTGTAAAGAGGTTTTTTTTTGGTGGGGTTTTGTTTTTTGTTTTTTTGGTACTGTTGCATTTTGTACCTGGCTTGCGGTTCCAAACAGTTCTTTGACTTAATTTTATGATACAATTGTTAGGGCAATGATGTGAAGCCAAATTCCAAGCACTAGATATTGTTGCTTGAAGAAATGAAGTGTCATTTTCCTGGCTGTGACATTTCTGAAGTGGCTGAATGTGGTAGAAGTGTCCCTTTGTCTAAGTAACTGCTGCATTTGTATGAAGATTTATTGGCAAATGTTTTAATGTCATAGAAGCTGGCATTTCCAGTGGTCTTGCCAAGGGACAAATCTCCCTTTCTCTGAGGCAGTACAAATCAAATCAGATAAGACTGAGTTCTTTCTTATAATTGTAAAAGTTCTGCCAAATCTGTTTAATATTGAGATACCCACTTGCATTTGGCAAGTGTTGGTGTCCAGAAAAAAACACATTATATTTATCAACTTTTGTTAAAGTTAACCAACAGTTCATTTTTGCATCTGAAATGATTTTCAGTACGTTTTATTTCTATTAAAAAATCCTACTGCAGTCAACATCATATTGGAGACTACAAGTGCCCTTAAGGACTTGTACATTAAGATACTTAGAAAAAAAAAGAAAAGCAGGACTTTCTCTGCAAATTAGATGTCATGAGTGTTAATATGACATTGTTAATAACTCGATGACATTAAATATCCCTGATGAATTTGCAATTAAATTCATGTGAGTCATGTGAGGGAATTTATTTGAGGAGGGAGTTGGTCAAGGGATATAAAGTTCGGCAAGGTATGGATCAGTCAAACGTGCTGGACCATGGCTACACACACAGGCTAAGCTCTCAGGACCTTGTGATTGTTCTGCTTTTAACTAGGCTGTCACAGCTGGCCTGCTGTAGGATGCTCTGGTACACTGTTGTTTTATATAAATCAACAATGAAACGTGGCTGTGGGGGAGGAAAATTGTTGTTACTGTTGGATTGTGGCTTTTTTAACTGGGATTTTTTTACATATTGTTATTCCACTAGCATTTGGATTCAGAGGCATAATATTGTGTGTGCTCATGTCTTCTGCACTATTACTGTTAAGGAATGAAAAGATATTTAATTTTTTTTTTAATTAGGTTTTAATTTATATAATATAATTACATTAATAAATTTAAATTGCACTAAAAATTCAAGTGCCTGGTTGGCAGAGTATATTATGGGTGATATTATGAAATGTAAATTATTTGCTCGTATATTTACTTGCAGGGAGGGAGCAACTCCCAGCTGATTGGCATACCTCCTCTTATCAGGAAGACTTGTGTTAACACAAAAGGCCAGAAGCAATGAGAGCTGGGCTCAGGTCTCCTGTAATCTTTGTCATATTGTTAGCTAGTGTGAAGTGAGCATTTTTCACTTGAGTAGCTGCTACATACATATGACAGTAATATGCAAGTAATTACTCTTTCAGGGCTTGCAGCTGTAGGACTGTGTCCTACATTGGAGACTTTTGTCTTGGCAACCTTCTCCCTGGGATTTCAGTCTGCATTTACAACTGTGCTTCTGCATCTTCTCAACACTATTTCAGGCAGCTTTGAAGAACGCTGTGGGAATTTCTGATCCCATAGCAGAGAGGAGGAATGCAGATGACATTGTTCCAAGATTATTGTGCATTTTCTGTTTAATTCCATCAGATATGTTTGAGTACCGCTGGGATCTTTTTTGGTTTTTTGAAAGTATATATGAATTTGCACAAGGAGATGTAGACTTTTTTTTTTTGTAACACTGTAGAGAATCAAATGAGCACTTCTGATAAGTTTTTGCTGTGTATGCGGTAAACAGTAACAAATTGAGGCCAGTGTATCTTTTCTCATGTACAGCTCATTTTTTGCTTGAATATATGGCATCCTTTATAATAGATCTAAAGAAATACTCAGAGAGGCTGTACTTGCATGTCTTCACTATATACTGGGTTGTTGTTTTTTTTTTATTTGTTCTCTGCCTCTTAAGGCCTTTCCATTTAAATCAAGGTCAATGATAGAAATCTCTTGGTGTAATGTCAATGTCAATTATAGAGGAGTTAATTAAATTGGATTATGGTTTTAGGTAGACAAATATCAAATAAACTTAGCCTAACATTTGACCTAAATAGAAATGCATGTTCATTATTAATGTACTTGAAAAATCCAGGTATGAAGTAGTGCAGTGGTGTTGAATAGTAGTATGTCTGTAACTGAAATACTGGAAAATTGATGTTGTTTGAAGCATTTTAACAGTGGTTTGTGATACTTTTATGTTGTGATAATAACTTAGTTTCACACTGGATATAACATGGTATTCTGTCTGTTTTAATGCACCTGCTGTCTATGACAGTTTATTTGCAACTGTTGAGCATTTTGAGACTGTTGTTCAAGCCGAATTATTGTTTTCAACATACTGCTCAGTCATTGTGATTATGATCTTTGTAAGACACTCTAGGTACCCTAAAGGAATGTCAGATCCTCTAATTAGCAGTAGACAAATACTACTTGGAAGGTGCAGTACAGAACAGTGAAAACTAGGCCAGAACTGTAAATCTGTTGGGAGGTGATTAAAACAAAGTGTCTGGATGCATTTGTTTACTTTTTACACATGTAATAATAAATGTGCCATCCTACAGTACATAGACATGAGGCACCTCTGTAGAATTCAAGGTGCATCTTTAAATGTGTGACCCAAGCCAAGGTTTGCACTTGAATGAGAAGCCCATCTGTATTATCTGTGTAATAGTGCAGTGCACTTGCAAAGGCACATCAAATCTTATGTTGTCACAGATGCATTGTTCAAGCTTAAACAAAAAGGGGAAAAATTACTTTGTAAATTTGATTTGTTTGTGGTTGGTTTTTTTTAACTCAGGTATTATATTTTCTGAGCTTGGTAAACAATTTTTGGTATCTTTGTGTATCATCTTTTCCTTCTTCCTTTGAGCTTCCTTATTCTCTGGGGTATGTAATTGTGTGATTACCCCTTTTTTTTTGGCCACAACTTACCTTTGTTGAGAGAGAGAGAGACACTGTACAGTGAACTAATAGCCAAGGCATAAACTCTAGGATTTTTTTATAAATTTATTTTCCTTAGTTATGATGTGTTATGACCTCCTTTCTTTCTTTTAATAGGATCTGTTTTTATGCTGAAAGTTCAAGTAAATGACATAGGCAGTCATCAGTACCTGCGACAAGCAGTTGTAGAAGTGTTTGTTAACTACACAAAGACAAATTCTACTCTTACTGGAAGCAATGGAGCAGTATTAATAAAAGTTCCATACAAATTAGGAGTAAGCCTAACTATTGTATCATACAAGGATGGCTACATGTTAACACCTTTGCCTTGGAAGACTGGGAGAATGCCAAGTACGTAAGCGTCTTATAGTCCTATTATTAAACCCTATCTGTCAGTAATTAAATGTCTCTCTTTCTCAGCAGTCTGGGTAGTTACTGTCAACTGAAAATGACTGATGTCAGTCAAGGGAGATGGTGCCTGTCAAAGCAGATGTAAGGTCAAATGGTCTGTTAGACTAATCAAAATTCTCATTACTATAAAACAGAAAATAGCCCTTTTTAATTCTCAGTAGGTTATATTGTGGTAGTGTGAGTGTGTTCCAAGAAATTGTTTACCTAGACTCAAATGGTAATGTGTTTTGACAAAAGTCATACAGTCTTTAGTAATTCCTGGACTGCTGGTGCTTTGAGTCCTGAGTAGCGGGTGTCACCTTGTTGTTGCAGCTTCCTTTCAGCAGTGTTTCCTCATGAGTTTTCCTTTTAACTATTTCTTGTTCTTAAAAATTGTATGGTTTTTTGTTCTTTTTTTTTAAAGAAGTGGGATCTTAAGAATTCCAGGCACTTGTTTATCTAGAAGGCATAAGACAATAGCAAACACACAACAAAGGCCTTCCTGCCTAACCACTAAAATTCCTGCTCTGGACAGCAGGACTGATTTATTTATCTAGTCTTCATATATACTTTTTAACCATTCTATTCACTATTCCTTCAGAATCAGATATCTTGCAGGATTTTTTTCAGTTTCACAGTGTAACAGATATTATTACTTTCCACAGTATACTCTTCTGTGACGCTTTCATTATTCCCACAAAATCAAGCTAATATGTGGCTGTTTGAAGATACTGTCTTAATTACTGGAAAACTGTCTGGTAAGTTCAGGCTATGCAGACTATAATCTAAACACTTTGTGACAACCATCTGTACATATACAAAAAAAATTTAAGCATGTTCACATCTTCATGTAATGCTTATCTCAAAACCAGATTTTCAGTTAAGTGTGCATCTGTACGTGTGGCTGTGACAAGTGCTAGACATACACAGAGCATGGAGAAAATGGGTGAAAACAGGTTTTTATACTAAATGGATTTCTGAACAGTAATAAAATAAGTTTTTGTGTATTTTACCATTTCTGAGACAAAATTTCACTCTTTTATAGATGCCAAATCTCGACCAAGTGTTCAGTTTCCAAAATTTTTAATAAAGCTTCCAACAAATCGACATATTACGAATGTTACTGCCTATCTGACAGTGCCAGAGCAGTTTTTGAAAGTAGACAGCTTTGTCTATTCAACAGGAATTCTTCTAAGTAAATCAGGTATGTAAATATGTTGTTGAAGAATTTTTTTTTAAGGAAGAAATCTTCTAATTATAATGAATATGAGTGTTAACAGAAAAACGTATGCTTAAATAAAAAGGGCCTGAACTTGCTTCCATTGCATTAAAGCTTTGTTCTATAAATACGTCAGGTGAGTAATTAATGTCACTTTTTCTCTTACTCCATGCAGTATTACAACATAGCATATCTTACTAAACTGAAATACTCCTTCAGAATCTGCTTTTCACGTATATATATGTATGTATATAAGGTGTTTACTAAACATATGTATATAGATATATATACACACACTTATATACATATAAGGTGTTTAGTAAACACCTTAAAAATACAGTTATGGTCAGTGTGTAAACTAGATGAACCTAAAGAAGTAAGAGGAACTGCAGCAGTTGACTTCAGCTGTGGGGTTTTCTGCATCTTCACTAAAATGGCTGCCCCTAGGAGCTTTACACCTAGCATAAAAATTGTATGGAAGCTCATGTCTAGCTCATGGACAGTTAATCTGTATGAGCCTGTTTTAAATGAAGTAGTCACTGTGTATACAGAGTACAGCTGTAATAACCTTTTCTGTGCATTTGTTTCACTGGAGAAGCAGTAAGTAGTTTCATGCTTGTATGCAGTTGGATCTTTCAGTATTTGTCATTCTACAGATTTTTTTTTTAGTATTTGCATAAATACAGTCTCTGGTAGATAGTACTGTGTGCAGCTTCATCTTTCTTCTGTTCTTCTATTCCCAGTTGAACTGAAGCCATGAGGCTCTTAAATTCATAGCAGCACATAAGGAAGCCACTACATAACTTGTTTGAACTTGTCATGCTCATTTAATTTTAATCAAATTTTTTAAAAACTTTTCTTACTTTTATTTCACCTCTTTACATGTAAAGTATAAGAGAATAAACAGCATTTCTTCTCTTCAGGTTTTCCTTTTAATCTGTCATGTGTTCTAAATTATTCGTATACTCCTAAAGGAATAAGCTTGCTTTTAGGGCAGGTGGAAGCTAATTGATATCTGATGCACCAGGTTTTTTCTCACAGCCAGCTTCTTACAGCTTCCATCAATTTAACAGTGTTCTGGTACTTAATAATTCTATTTCGGCTTCTTTCATCATACTGTCATATGGTGCATTCTGAAGTATTTGCAAATTAGCGTTACGGAAAACAAAACAAACTTTCAGGCTTCATTGTAAAACTCTGTATATGCAACGTTTTCTTTGAGTGTTCTGACAAGCCTCATGATTAACTATTCAGTTAATTATAACTGCCAAGGTAGAAAGTTAATCCTTACAGGAAAGTTTTCAGAGGACTGGTCAACTAAGGAAAAATGCAGCATGTATTTGTATATGGCTTCAGTTTGATTCAGTGTTACATATATTGCAATTATACAAAAAATCTTTATCTGTATTTTATCATAGGATAGCTGTTTTGCAATCACCTTATCTGAGGGCTAAAAACCTTCTTCCCTCACACCCAAGCCAGATTTTGCCTCACTGTTGTTTCTGCAGTCATCATTAAACCTGTATGTCAAAAGTCTGTTTCACTTTTACAGATTTGGTATAGAAATGACTGGGGTTTATTTTAATCGCATTTTGAAAGTCCAGAATAGAAAAATGTTGATTTTTATTTCACTGAGTTGTGATATCTACTGTGTAGCTGGATGTGAATGGGGGGCTCACTTCTAGTTACAATTAGGATATACTCTTAATTATAAATATATATTTTTAAATACACTATGAATGGAGAATTATAGCCAAGCTATTTCTCACGTATAGGTTTCAAAAGCATGGAATTAACTCCTCTTGCTGCAATATGTGTAAATATTCGTTTAACTGGGAAAGAACTAAAAGTAAATGGTCCCATTCAGATTACACTTCCTCTTCCCACAAGTACTGTAAAATCAGGAGATGCTGTACCTGCATGGGCATTTGATATGAAAACTGGTAAGTGGACTAAGTTATTTGTTATTCTGCCTTTTGGCACATGTATATAGTTTTGGCCACATAACACTGTATGTCATGGAAGAGGGACTGCACTAATGTATGAGCTGGTGATAAATAGTTGCAAATTTTTTTAGATTGATTAGCTTGAATTGTTCAAATGAATTTCCCTGCTTTCATTAGTTCAAAAAGCTTTGGTAAAATTCATTAGCATTCCTATTGAACAAATTTTTAAATAAATGGATTTTTATTTTGATGGGAGGCTAAGGATTCAGGGGACATACATTTTAGGTGATGTTAAATTTTAAGCCAGGTAATTTTGTAAATGCCTTTTTAAAAGAAAATCAGACTTAAAGATTTGGATGTTTTTTTCCTGGAGTATAACTGTAAAGATCCTTTGACACTAAAACTGGAATAGATAATACTTCAGTTAACAAAAGCATTTCAGAAAATGAAATTAAGGCAAAATAAGAGTTATCAAAGGGAACAACATTGTTCTTAGAGTATATATTGAAAGAGAAGCCTGAAGATTAGACATTCTACACCTTTTGTCAGCCGTTCACGTCTAATTTTAGTCCATAGTAAGTAATGAGGTAGATACACTTATCCCGTTTAGATGTGCATACACACCTAATACAGGACGAGCGTACTGATAGTCTTACATTGTACCTTATAATTTCCATCACAGTTTGGCTTGAAACATGCAAGTGAGTGAAGAGGTAAGTGTTTTACTTCTTATTAAGTTAAACAGCTGTTATTCAACTGTTAGAAGTACAACAGGGGATGCCGACTCTAACAGGTGTTGTTTACATCTTCAAGAAACAAATCTATCATCTTAATGAAGAAGCAAAGAACATTGAATTATGTTAATAAAAATTACTAGGTTGTCTTTTGGGATGAGAGTGACTAGAGTAACTTTTGGAATAGATTAAATCTATCTATACACCTAGAAGACTTCAGAGGGGTGACTCAAGAAAGGATTTTAGTCTGACATGGTGAAATAGCACAAGGGGGTTTAATTTCTTGCTGCCACAGCCACTTTTGCCAGCTCCATTGTTCATCTGTACCTGTGCTGAGCTGTTTTATCTCACTAAATGGATAACTGGTGTTACTACACAGTGTTATTAAAACAAAAAGTTGACAGAGCAGCTCAGTGCAGGGTCAGGTTAGAGTATGAACCAGTGTAAGATGTGTATGTGGGTATTGAGGGACCTACTCAACAGGCCTATGTAGGCATGTTGGCCTTGGTACAGCAAAAGCAGGAGCGTGGCATGCTGATCCAATACAACTGAGACAGTTGTTTTTTAGCTGTCAGATGGTGTGTTCTCTGATAGAGGTGAATTGTTTATAGTGGGTGCTCATTGAGGTGTAGTGTTTGCATGGAGCGTTCATTGATGCTTGCTGATGAGAGGACTAGGAGGGCTGTGGACAAGGAGAGGGACTTTTGGGGCATAACTGACTTCTGCTTTTTCTTCTGTTTCCTCATCTCTTCTCTGCAGTGAAAATTTGGAACTGTATTTCTTGTTCTGGAGGTTTATTCTTAAATATGTTTCTTTGATGTTTACCTTTGATTTGAGATGTGCAAAACAACTTTTTTCTAAGATAACTTAGTAACAGCAAGGTATTTCTTAGTCAAGGTTCTGGTGACTGCAGACAGTTGAATTTTGCCTCATTAGTACCAGAAGTACTTTGTGGATTTTAATAGAATTAAAAAAAAAAAATGGCAAGCTTGCATTGCAACATTAAATTGAGAACAATATTGCGCTGCTTGGCAGTAAATGGTAGAGGATATGTGCTTACTCATAAAACACATCTTAGTGTTTTTCTTATTATGTACTATTTTCTATGCAGTATACTGTGGAAGAGATAATCTGCTGAAGACGACAGCAAAGATTATATAGCTTCTTGCACATTTGTTCAGTTAAGATAGAACTTCTGGAGACCTAAAATTTTTTATTGCCTTTTGTATGTGGTGGTTTGCGTAGGTTTTATATATGTCTGTAAGTAGCCTACCCTCAATACTTCTAAAACAATGGTTTTACAGTATGGCAGCATCTTGCCTTAGAGTTGAGAGGACAGAATTTGGGGACCTGTTGTTGCCGCCATATGAGAGTTAGGGATAGAAGACTTTTCTGGTTGGTTTTGCTCCTGAATCTGGAGAAGAGGATTTCCAGGTAACTGAGTAACCACCTCTTTGAGGGCTCTAGGTGGCTGCTGCTGTTTGCCTCTGCCAGCTGTCACAAATTATCAGAAGGCTGCAAGTTTTACTGCTGAATGATATTTTGTGTGTGTGTGTGTGTGTGCGTATGCACATGGCATGTGTCACTTCTCAGATTCCTCCTGTATGGTAGATTTTTCCTTTCACTTTGCTGAAAGAAAGATCTTGGAGGAAAATCAAAATTATAGGGCTTATATGAATTATACTTTTTGTGTGCTTTGTTTAGTGTTATTTTAAGAAAGCTGGTGGTTCTTGTGCCTTCTTAGTATTTGCAGTTTGAAAATGTAAGGTTGTTTATATGAGGTTGTTTTCTGTCCTTGGAATTTCGCAGATGGGCCACAATAAATGTGTTCAAATGTAGCTCTGTCTTTTCTACTACATGCTTTATTAATTGTGGAAGCTGGCATACTGTAATACCTGTCTTTTGCATAGCTAAAGAGATGGTGTGGAATCTGCATCTTAATAGACATTCCTTGGGTTAACTGAACTGTTACTACCTTGCAGTAGGGAGGGGGAGAGAATTATTCAAGACAAACATTGTTTATCCTATTGTAGTTTATTAGATTAAAATGCTTTCCCTCGAAGTGCTGCTAGTTAATGTTAATTACCTGCTCCTTGATTTTTTATTTTTTTTTTTTTTTTTTAAGTCTTGGACCTCATACATGCTTAAGCTCATAGAACAGGATTTTTTGCATGATTTGTGTGCTTACCTGTGAAAGATATTTATAGAAAATAAATTACATTAATTAATTCTGGTAAATAATGTTGATGTTTTGTTTCAAAGTAAATGTCTACACAGGGAGTCCTGCAGTGAAATTACCAAGACAGAAAGTGTGCATGTTTAGCTAAGGTTGTGTAATAATGCATAGGTAAGAAGATTCTGTTTTTCTTGTGACCTTGTGTATTTTTGCTAACAGCTTAATCACTAATGGTTTGATCTATAGAAGATTGCTGCATGATCTGTGCAATATTTTGTCTTTCTTTTTTTTTTTTCCAGGTGCTTGGGTAAGCCACGGGCTAGGAATGGTAAAGGAAGCAGATGGTCAATTAGTATGGACATACACTGCTCAACACTTAGGCTACTGGATGGCAGCTCCACTGCCTGGAGCAAGAGGTATTGCAACAACTGGCAAAGAGATCACTGGCTAACCCAAGTAATAATACACTGTAAAGCTGTCAGTTTGATTGCTTTATTTAATAGCAGAAAGGGAAAAACAACATGCAGTTTGAACAGTTGGGTAACTTCTGTTTGTATCCTGATAGTGTGCCTTTGTGCATGTAACTGTTTCCTAGAAGTTCAGATACTTAAGGGGGAAAAGTCCAGACTGTATTTGAATTTACATGTTTATACTGTCTCTATTTTTTGGGAGAAGCCTGCAAGGGAGCTGTGCCTATGGAGAGCTAGAAATCAACAGGACTGTATCCCTTACTGTAGAGGATCATGGATGACAGGAGGAAATACAGTGAAAAAATTAATCTTGGGTAGAACAGCCCCAGTGAATTCTCTTTTATGTAAACTTGTGGAATGTTTTGGAAATTCATATGTAGGGTTTCTTATCAGAGAACTAGGATGTCAAAAACATACCACTTTCTGACAGAAGCACTATGCAGAAAATATGGACCGTATTTCTAAATGGACACCTAATACAAGTGTAATTTGACTGGAATTGAGTAGATGTAATGTAAGGCTTTAATATTTGAGATGACCCTTTCAAGATGTATTACATTGTAACCACTGAATTCAGTTTGAAATAGCAAGGTGAAAAGGAAAGGATGAACATAGTGCCATAGCAACACAAAATTACTGAAAAAGTATAGTTTAATTTATTAGCTACAGCTCTGCATATGAAGTGGAATTGTTTTTGAGAGCTAACTCTTTTTTCGCTTGGCAACCTAGAATCCATTATTAGTGCGGTTTCCAAGGACATCACAGCGTATCACACAGTGTTTCTTACTGCTATCCTGGGAGGTACTGTTGTCATTATCATTGGATTTTTTGCTGTTCTTCTTTGTTACTGCAGGTAAGCAAAAATAAGCTCAGCATAAATGGAATTTCAGGTTGACAAAATAGTCTTTTGAAGTTGAGGCTTGTTTCTTTAGCTAAACTAAAATGCATAGCCTAATATTTCTTTAAAAATCACAGTTATTGCAGAACTTTGTTTAAAGTTTGTGATGGCACATTACTGTTCTTAACAAAATCTGATCTTCAGCTCTGGAAGTCAACAGTATAGTATTTCTTGGTATGCTCTACAGTCACCCTGCATCTCTTTTGCTTAGGGATAAATGTGGTCGGACAAAAAAGAAGGAAAAAAGTACAACTAAGCCGGAGGTCATCAAAAAAGACCAGACTACATCAACTACACACATAAATCACATCAGTGCTGTCAAAGGGTCTTTAAAGTTGGAGGATAAGTCACAGCTATACACATCTAAGGTTTCATACAGCCCTCAAAGAAGGATGTCGATAGACACAGAAGATGGAAAATCACGAGACAATTTTAAAATCCACACAGAGGATGCTTCTTACCATTTATCCTGTCAGACTGGTCAGTCAAGAAATTCAGCCCATTCATTGGAGCCTAATGCTGGACTTAGGCATTTACAGCAGCTGAAGCATAGTAGCAATGCTATTTCCCAGGTTCCTAGGGATATTCAAGACCAAAACAGATACCTTTCCCATATCCCAGAACACCTGATGCATATTTACAATCAACCTATTGCTATTCTTCAAACCTCTGACCTTTTCCACTCCCCAGAACAATTGCATCCTGCTAAATCAGCAACTTTGCCAAGAAAAGGGCAGTTAGTTTATAGCCCCATGATGGACCCCATGAATCATGACAGTTACATGCAAACATTACCGAAAATGCCAGTGCACTCTCATCCACAGCCTTCTGTCTGCAGAGATGAAAACAGTGTGTTAGATAGTGGAGAGTGCTTACCATCTCAGACTTCAAACTGGGGGCGGTACACTAATAGCTTGCTGGAATCCGTCTCTGTTCCTGGGACATTGAATGAAGCAGTTGTAATGACTCCGTTTTCATCTGAACTTCAAGGTATTTCAGAACAAACATTATTGGAACTCTCTAAAGGAAAACCATGTCCACACCCTCGAGCATGGTTTGTGTCCCTGGATGGAAAGCCAATAGCTCAAGTGAGGCATTCTTTCATAGATCTGAAAAAGGGCAGAAAAACAGAGAGTAATGATACCAGTCTGGACTCTGGTGTGGACATGAATGAGCATCATCCTGGTAGGAAACTGGAGAGAGAGAAAACTTTCATTAAAACTATGCCTCATTCTAAGATTCTTTACTTGGAAGACCTGGATCTGAGTAGCAGTGAAAGTGGGACCACTGTTTGCACTCCAGAGGAGCAGGCTGTGAGGTACCTTATGGATGGAGGGAATGGACCAGTCATAGAACAACATGACGAAGAAGGTCTGAAAAGAAAAACTGTATCAGGAAGTCGTGAATCTGGTATCCCTTCTGCTAAAAAAAGGGATAGACCATCTATCATGAGAAGAGATAGCAAAACCAGTATCTGGAAGAAAAGAGAGGAGAGGCCACTTCTCCCTATAAATTAAAACACAGTATACTTTGTGTTGTTGCTCTCCCTGTTGGTATTGACCTCTTGGCTGCTTCTGTGTTTCTGCATTGTTGGGTTTACAAGGGAAATGTTTTCTGGTATCAAGAAAAGTTACTTCCTTTTTAATATACAGATTAAGTTATTAAACTTCAACTGGGCAACTGATATTCAATGTGATTGAAAACAGGGAAATACTACTATTAAATTTTTCCAGTTCCTTATTTTGCTGTCAGTACGGGAGAAAGCCCACATTTTAATCAGCCTGTCATTCTTGGACACACATTTGGGGGTGCACAGTGAGAAATGTAGACACGTTTTAATTTTTTCATAATTGTTATAATGCACTGGTAGACTAGTTAAATCAGTTCCTCAGCCTTGTTCTTAATCATTGTGACCATCTCTGTAAAGTATTTTATATGTGAACTTTTCTAGGGATCTGTTACTTCTTCTTTGTATGATGTAAAATGTTTCATCAGTTAGTCCCAGGACACCAGCAGATGAGCTCTGTTGGATTTATCCGTGGAGCTCTATGGCATTCCTGCCCTCCCTGTGTGCCCATCCTCATGCAAAAGGTTTCCATTCCATGTAGTAGTGGCAGAACAGGGAAGTGTACAAGTTCTGTGGCCACTGCAGTTCATGGTCTCTGGTGTTTTAAGATGTTGCCCACCTGCTCTAATTTACTTTGTTTACATCTGCTATAAAGCGTCCACATCCAGCAGAAAAGGACTGGTTTTGGCAGCATTTGAAGCTGCTGTTACTGTTTATCCCAGTGTCTTGTTTTGGCTTTGTTGTCAGTTAAAATTTCTTCTGTATGCTGTTGGGCCATTTGTGCTCCAGGACATAGTCTTTAATCCCTGCATATTTGTAAATCAGAGTTTGTCCCATAATTAAAAGGTAATGCAATTTTAGACAAATTATGCCTTTGAGATAGGTTTCTTTAGCTGGAAAATTTGGCACTGTTGTTCTTCTTAATGTTTAAAAAAAATGGAAGATCATAAAAGGTTTATGTGCCTACATTTTGCCAGCCTGAGCTGCTTTTGTCTAAGTTGTGCATTGCAGAAGGGTTAAACAAGCTTTGAAAGTGTGTGTGTGGGGTATGAGCATGAGACAGCAGATCGCAAAATTTGGTGCAATATAAATACTACTTATGACTCGGAGTTAAATTTACCAAAAGTCATGAATGCATGAAATGTAACTAAGATATGTATAGAGGAAGGAAAAGGCCATCAGAATATTCTTTATTTTTAATATTCATTTTGTCAAAATGATCGCTTCAGCTTTGGCTAACAGAAAAATACGTGCATTCTTTAATGTGCTTCATATAGCATATAGAATGACTTTTGGTGGCTTTGAAGCTGTTTCCCTGATAAAATAAGTTCCAGCATTTCGGCTTTGGCAGTTTGATTATAAATCATCCTAAAAAAAGCTTTATAAATATTTCCCTTAGAGCTTGGTTAAGGTTCTGTCCCAAGACCCGAATACATAATGCCTGTACGTGGATTGTGGGGTGAGGTGCACTTGGTTGTCTGCCCTATAGTACTCTTTAGAGTTGGGAAATACCCTATGCAGCTGGGCTTCTGGGAATATTTACTCAGGAAACGTTACTGTGAAATATATCTGCTATGTTGGAATTGTCAATTGTCTGGTCCTGTTGTAAAAGAGTATGTAAGGTAACCATAATGGTACTAGCAATACATCAGTCGAACTTAGGCTGTGCAGTTGCTTCACAAACAAAATATGATGTTCCTGTTGAGCTCGCAAGTATGAAAGTGTACAATAAATTTGAGGTAGTTGTGCAAGTAAGTCCGTGATTAAATTGGCCAAAAGAATCAGCTTTAATTACACGATTTACCTATTTCGGAGGTGAAGATGGCTTGTTGTACTAGCATGCCTTTGGTGCTTTTTTTTAGGTAACTGGTTAATTTTTCCTATACCAAATACATTTTCACAATACTTTTTTTTTTCTATATGCTGTTCCACTGGATTTGGTGCGTGACTTACTCTCTAGCCCCAAATATTTTTATCCTTTGCTTTAGTAGGAATCAATGTATATATTCTCTGTAGATGCACGTTTCTTCTGAAAGCTGCTTTGATTTTTTGAGGCTTAATATTTCCCTGCTCTTAAGAGTTCCGTCAGTTCTGATGGCTCCCTTTTCAACACTAAAGAATTAGATACTCTGTTGAACATAATAGAAAATCTTTGACTAAGTAATGGTTTTGAGATGTTACTGTTAACTTGATATGTCTCTATTTGAAATGTTCGCCTGCAGTAACTTAAATATATTGCAGATTTCTTTCAATGCATTTTTTCAGTGTATATGCCAAAACCACCTAATTTTTCAAACTTGTATGATTAAAAACTACAGATTACTTACTGCACATGGTGTTATTCATTTGAGTTCAAGAGAAGGAAGTTTTGCACTCCAGTGTTCTTGTTCTGCATGAGAGTAGGTATCTGGTCACCAAAGAAAAAGCATTAGAAATGTTGAAAATATCAGTTATAACTTGAAAACTTCAGAGTAATGGTGCCAAAAGATGTACAGATGTAGTCCAGATTCTCTTCTGCTCTGATTGAGTGCAAAGTGAGTTTAGCTCCATACCATCATTCTAAAGGAGCTTTTGGCTGTCTGGATCAGTCACAGTTGTTTTACTCTCCACATATGGCAGTGTAAAATGGCCCCTTTAAAGGCTGTGCATCAGTGAGGCATTTCAGCTTTTAGTGGACAAAGCAAATCAAAAGTGGAACAGATCTTTCAAGAAGTGTCAACCGCTCCACGCAGCTTGGTGTCATCAGCAGACTTGCTGTAGTTGCGCTTGATCCCACTGTCCGTGTTGCTGACAAAGATGTTGAACAGCACTGGTCCCAATACTGACTCCTGAGGAAAATTGTTGTCACTGATATCCACTTGGACACTGAGCCATTAACCGCAACTTTTTGACTGCAGCCATTCAACCAATTCCTTGCCCACTGAGTGGTCCATCTGTTAAATCCATGCCTCTCCAGTTTGGAGACAAGGATGTCATGTGGGACACTATCAGATGCCTTGCACAAGTCCAGGTATATGATGTCAGTTGCTCTTCTTCCCTTATCCACCAATGCTGTCACCCTATTGTAGAAGACCACCAAATTTGTCAGGCATGATTTGTCCTAACAAACTATATTGGCTCTCACCAGTTACGTCCTTATTTTCCATGTGCCTTAGTATAGTTTCCAGAAGGATTTGCTCTGTGGTCATGCTGTGCACCAAGGTGAGACTGTTCCCTGGGTTTTCCTTTTTTCTCTTTTTAAAAATGGGGGTTATGTTTCCCCTTTCCAGTTAGTGGGAAGTTCACCAGACTGCCACGACTTCTCAAATATGATAGATAATGGCTCGCAACTACATCCACCAGTTCCTTCAGGAACTGCAGATGTATCTCATCAGGTCCCTTGGACCTTTAGGTTTCTTAGATGATCTTGAACCTGATCTTTTCCTACAGAGGAAGGAATCTCCCAGTTCTTGCGTTTGCCTTCTGTGACTTGGGCAGTGTGGCTGGAGCACTTGACGGTGAACACCTAAACAGGAAAGTCACTGAGTACTTCAACTTTCTTCATGTGCCAGGTAGCCAGGTATCCCATTTCCTTCCAGAAAGGAAATTTTCCCTTTCTTCCTTTTATCACCAGTGTACCTACAGAATCTTTTCTTGTTGCTTTTGATGTCTCTGGTCAGATTTAATTGTTTCTTATCATATATGTGTGTTTGGCTGTTGCTTCTATCCATGCCAGCTTGCTTTGTAGATTATGATTTGGAGAAAACTCCAGGAACAAACTTGCCAACAAAGTTTTCAAGCTGACAAGCAGGTATTCTTTATTGTGGTGCCAGGAGACACGGGGGATAGCTCCTCCTAACGTGTGTCCCCCAGCTGCCACACAAGCCGTCCTTTTATAGCCACTGGGCATGCATACATATTCATGAGGCTACGTATGGATTACATAATTTTCCAGTTCCCCGCATGTGTACAGAATTGTGGTGGTGGTCTCTGAGGGTCGTTTACTTCTTCTGACAACCTTCATCACTTCTGGCAGCCTTTGAAGCATGCGCAGTAGATGCTCATACCAGTTTAATTGGTTCTTTAGCACCAGAAACATAATAATCCTCCTATCCTCCTACTTATCAGTTAGTTTAACTGTAGCCCATCCTAGACACCAGCGGTTCCCAGATACTCCTTATCCCTGTGTCCTGTTCTTCTAGACTGTTTTTCTTAAACTATGTCACAACTATAATGATTTATCTTGTGAGAATTCTCAGTATGTTCTCTAGCTGTACTCTTTTTTTTTTCCTATGTATCATGCACCTCAGTAATTTTCCATTGCTACTGTTACAAAGCCGTCAAACTTAACATTACTTAAAACTAATTCTAAAGGTTTCTATACTCCATTTTGTGATTTTGTGCACCCTTGTCTCAATTAGAACCCATATGCCATCTTTTCTGTGTGTAACTTGCTAGCGTTTATCACATAATGTCTTTATGTTTCTGGTTATACTTGAAAAGGCTTTTCTAAAGTTGAGTTTGATATTAAAAAATACATACATTTACTTGCTTTCTGTGTCAGAATATGAGAAAGCTATTCTATAGAGAGAAAGCATTCCTGCAGTTGTATGCTACATGAAAACAGCTGATGCCTCTAAGCACACAATGACAGGAAATTCTTCCTTGATCCTATCGTGAGCATTAAATCTTGGATTTGAAAAACTATCTATAACTCTAAAATCAGTAGAATTATAGGTCGTATTTGTATTCAGTATTTACAGAATATATTATCAATTGTCATATTCCAGCTTTACACTGGAATTTATGCACTGGAAATCTGTCAGTGACTAGAATTTGTTTTGTTTGTAGATCATTAAAAATAGTTTAACTACACTGAGTTCTAAAAATTTTAATTCCCAAGGTAACAGTACATGATGTGTGCCATATGTGGAAACGACAAAATTTTATAATGAAATTTGTCTTTGTGGTCAAATTAAAGCTTTTCTATATACTATGTGTTATTTCAATATATGAATTTATAGGAATCACTGAATTTATTTTTCAAGAATTTTTTTTTTTCCTTGTTGGCTCAGTATTGCAGCACCAAGACAGTGCTAAACTACTAGTGTGAAAATCAGGCCTATACAAAAGGTAGTTAGGGTTTGTGGCACACTGCGCTTGGCAAGGCCAAGGAAACATTCAGAGGTTTTGACTTCTTTGAATCTGGAGGTTGACTACCTTGAAAATAAGAAATGGGTTATGCCTGAAGCACTTTTAAGTAAGCCCCTTCTAAGGAGAGGGGAGTGAGTAGAGTAAATGGGAAAGGAGATACTTACTTTCTTTCTGGATCTTGTTTTGAAACTGATTTGTATTTGTACTTCAGTGGAATTGATTCTTTTTGCAGAACACAAATGTTTGTAAGAAGTATGTCTCTGTTCTTCACAAGACACTTACTGAGCTGTCAGCTTTTGCAAAAAGTCCACACGTGTACGTACAATATTAAGTGAAAGGTATTAGATACAGACCACTCAAGACCAAATTTTATCATATGTTTAGAGTGAAAGGCAGTTAAACTTCAGAAGAGTTTCCCTGCCATGGTTGCAGTACATGATGTTGAGATTCTTCTTGCAGATGGGTGTACCAGTTCCAGGTCTTTGCTTAGGTCAGTACTTTGATGTAATATAAACTAAGGGAAGTGATCAGGCTAAACAATATGCAGCTGTATGCACATAAATCTGGATATGTTACCTAGAATAAGCTAATCAACAGTCACTTTCAGATAGTTACCAAATGTCACATATTGGGGGGGGGGGGGGGGGGGGGGGAGGGAAGAGGAATTCACTTTAAAATTCCTTTTAAAGGAAAAATCTTTACAGTACTGTCAGAAAAGAAAATAATTCTGTTACTTACAAACCTCAAAGCAAAGCTGATTCAAGGATTAGGGACATAATTTACCAGTATAGAGCTGGAGATGATGCACAAGAAATAATCCAGGATGTAGGAATGTCTAGTTGTCTGCTTTGTTTTTTATGAAATAATTTGTGTCAAAGAGAATGACATGAATGGGCACCAGTCTAAACTGTTCTTGTTAGCTAAAAAGTGAAACAGGTAAAGAATATTACTGGTCTAACACAGTGTAAATTAAAAGGCAGTACACTGCATTCATTGTCTAGCACTGCATATTAGGAAGTCTGAAGACAAATTAGCCTGCTGGAGTGCCTTTCTCTTTCATGAGATTTATCAGTGGGACACCTGAGGATCTGAAAAGCACATTATGGGTTTTCTTTCTGTTAGCCAAAAGCACCTCACCTCAGTTCATACTTACAATTATGTAGCTTTTATAATAATTTAAAAGGCAGATCTAGTGTTTATGTTGGAGTACTGACTCCTGCATGTTGATGAAGATGGTAATTGTTGTAAACTCTGGGTTTTTTTTTGTATTTTATGTTTTGAAAAGAAATTTTAAAAAGTCGTATCTTTAGCAATCTCAACAGTAGTATCTCTTAAAAAGTGACATATGGGATCTGAGTCAACCTCGTAAGTCAAGAGTAAGCATGTTGAAGTCGCTGGATTTACAGATATGAAGCTGACTGGAATTTTAACTTCAAAAATGAATATATGTTTATATATAAAAACTATTGTAAGGAAAAAAATGTTTTCTTTCAGCTGCTAACCTTTGTTGCCATTAGAAGCAGAAAAAAGTGAATGGAGGTAGGTACTCATACTTATTTTCTAGAACGAATTTTTATCTCAATTTGGAGACTAACCTTCATTGTTTATATAACAATTTATATTGTTTTTAATTCAGTGGAATTATGCAAAACATAGTACTATGCCTACAGAGTTAAAAATGAGCATTCTTTTATATTAGTTTGTATTAATTTCTGCCGCACTTCTAACAGTAGGTACATGTTAAAGAGCTTGTATGAAAGCTGCTTTAAATTACTTTCATCTGAGCTCCCTTATAAAAACAGTGTTCAGGGTGTTCTGATTAGAAAAAAGGCTTCAGATATATTTCTTAAGATCAGCAAGGGAAAACTCTGTTACTGTTTTTAGTATTGGCACTGTTAGCTTGAAAACTGTGATTTTTATTTTGGGTTTTTTTTTTTTTTTGGTTGGTTGGTTGGTTCAAGACGTATTGAACGTTTCTATGTTCCCCCTCCCCAAAATGTACTGCTACTTTATTCCCCAGTTAACTGATACAGTTCCTTTGAAGCACTTGTTGAACTTCAGTCCATGCTACATCTTTTACATCTTATTTTGTACCTTTTAGTGACCCTTACAACACAGAGTTCATAAAAAGCTTGTCTCTGAGATGCTGAAAGGTGGGTGAAGTGATGGCACTGACTGTGCTCACCACCTTGCACGTTGGAGCCTTATATTCAAACTATATGTAACAAACACTTTGCTATCTTGGCAGTCATTTTTAAAACCACTCTGATAAGGATATTGCTGCAAAACATTCTTCATATTTAGCATCCTGGTTTTAAGCATTTCTACCTTTTTATATTTTGTTAGAGGTGTCTTTTCATCTCTGTATTTACTACAGTATCAGTGTCTGTTGCTGAAAATATAACTTTGTAAAACGTTACAGCTTATGCAATATAATAAAAGTTTTAAAAAGTCATCAGTGCTTTATCTTTTATTTGAATGTCTCTGGAGTTATGTGTTGTTTAGGAATATACCTCTCTCACCTAACACCTCTTTTCTAAATATTACTAAAAATGTGTATTTGTGTCATCACCGTCATTCCAATGACAAAAGAATGTTGTTATTCTTAAGTTTGCCAATACTAATTCAGTCACAGTTTCTTTTCCAGATCTGCTGAAGAAAGACTTCTATATCTACATTAAATCTGATTCCTGTTTCTTGGTTAGTGCATCTGAGATTCTGCCTTGTGTAAACTGATTTTGTTGCAATTTGAAAGGGGGTACCCAGAGAAGAATATTTTATCAGGTGGTGTTCCTATGTCTAATCTCTCTTTTCTCTGTTCTCCCATTTAGAGACTTTCATGTGGCTCTAAGAACAAACAAAATATTTTTGTATGTCTGCACAGTGCTTAAGACAGAGGCATCAATTCCAGCTATGAATAAGCTCAAAGTACTTAAATCCACGTAGAAGAACAACATAATGCTGTGATATAGAACAGCTTATACTAAACTTCAGAGTGTAACATCCTATTCTTAACTGTACCTAACACTAGTATTTCTCAAGCCTTTCTAAGCTTCACAAAAGCCACATTTCAGTATTTTCACTATAGTTTAGGACACCTGCAAGAGTCTAGGCAAGCACATTGCAAAGGTCTTCCTACATTGCACCTGCATGTGTTGGATGATCACTCTTAATGCTCTGAGAAGCTGCATTCTGCTAGTAAACTACTGGTTCTCACTTTCACAGAGTAACTTTTAATTTTCAACCTGCCTGCTAAATAAACTTTTTTTTTTAACCATTTCAAATCCATTAGCTGTTTTAAAATAGATGGAGTGAACTTTATAAGAAGTTAAATAAATCTCAGGAATTTTATTTCCAATGCAACAGAAGAGAATGGTATTTTCTGTCATGTTTCACTTCCATGTAAAAATTAGGTATCAGGGTCATCAGCTGATCTGTAAATACAAATATGTCAAAACTGACTGAAGTTCAGCTTGTAATATGTCATCATAGAAAACACAAAATCCAAACTAAAGATTACTCAAGAATTAAAGTGTGTGTCAGTAGGTTATACAGTTTTGTTTGTTGTAAGTTAAGACATGCTATCACAT